CGCCGGCGGGACTCGAACCGGGGTCTTGCTGCTTCCGAGGACAGAGGCGAACGACTTCGCCGTCGGACTCGACGCGTTCGCCGAGTCCGAGCACGCCGGGCGCGGGCGGACCGACCTCGACGGTGAGCGAGGCGCTAGACTTGAAGGTGCCAAGCCAGTGTTGCGCCGAACCGCAGTCGACGGTGACAAGAACCTTGCCCTGGCCCGTTTTGAGGCCGACAACCTCGACATCCAGCCGACCCTCGACGGTCGACTGGAGCGTGGTCTTCCGGCTCCCGTCGGAGTGGGCGACGAAGGCGAGCAGGTCCGGGTTGAGTGCGTGCCACTTGAACACGCACTGCGTCGCAGCCCCGCTCTTGTGTGCTGCTGTTTTGCTGTCAGTCTGAGTGCCACCTTCAGTACCACCTCCGTTAGCACTTCCATTACCACTACCGAGGACGAGGGCGGGTCGCGTGAACATGGCGCCGTCGGAGGTGTAGAGGTTAAGACCTAGTGGCACGCGCGCATCTTTGGGTGCGTAGAGGAAGCCGCCCTTTTGACCGAGGAGTTTGTCTCCAGCTTGAAGGGCGACATGATGGGGGTGTGCGACGGTGACTGCGATTTGTGCGGGGAGTGCAGCGAGTGCGGGGGCAGCGAGGCCCTTGTCGACATCTACTTCACGAATGAGTTTGGCAGCGGCCTTGCCCACGGCACCTGAGACTAGTGTTTGGTGGTTGTCGTGTTCGAAGCCTACGACACGGGAGTTATCGGAGACGAGTGCCCATTCACGTGCGACGCTCCCTCCGCCTCTGACTTGAGGGCGCCAACGGGCACCGCCGGGCAGCAGGACGAGGGCGGTGGGTTGTACTTCGAAGGCATCATCGATGGTCACACTCAGTGGCGCAGTGTTACCGAGTCCGCCACCCAGACGACCCTCCAGCAACCCTTTACCACGGGCCAAGCCTCTGACACGGTCCCCGGCGACGTAAAAATACTTGGTCGGTGTAGCCACGAGCTGCAAGGCGAACGCCCGGTTGACGGAGGGATGTAACGCACGTCCAGAAAGACGACCCACACTTCGCACACGCACCTCATAATCCAATCCCTTCTCTAACTCATTCTGGCCGTGCTCCTCAGCCACCACTACACCACTCCGTCTGTCCCGTAGTTCCAAACGAGTCCCCTGCAACATGTCACTCTCAAGTTCCAAGCGCAACGTTTTGGGACCTAACAATGAGGGATCAGATACATGCAACTCGGAACGGAACACTTCACCCTCTGCCGCCACGCGAGTTTTCGAACCGTGCAGGTACACGTATGCTCCCGCCTTCCCAAACAGCTTTCGCCCCGACTTGCCCGCTACGTCCAGGACTGATGCGTCGGAATCCCACGCGACAGAACCAGATGCAGAGCCAGAGGTGGAAACTGCAGCTGCTGAGTCGTAGAGAGGAACGATCTTGTTGACGTTGGCGACCCGCTGGAGAGCGGGGAGAGTGAGGGGTTCCTGCGAGACCGCCAGAACGTTCAACCACGAGCCAGGAGTCATTTTGTAGACGCCATTGCTGGAGATGCCCTCGGCCTTCACCACGTAGGCCCACTCGGGGTTGTGGAGAATGGGGTCTTCCAGCCTCGGCGGATCGAGGGCGATGGCTGGAAGTCCGTGCAGTTCGAGGGTGCCGATGATGCCTTGCCCATTGATCCAGCTGAGTTTCCGGATACGGGCAGTGAGTTCCCTTGCGGACTTTTTGAGTCGGTCCGCTTTCTGGGCCTGTACTTTCGCTGTGCCGGTAGCCTTTGTGACTTGGTAAGCGGCCTCAGTGAAATCGCCGGTCCATGTGAGAATGGCGGCAATGAAGTGGTCACGGTCTAGTTGGTTGGGTAGTGTTACCGCGACGCTGTCGGGTTTAAGTAGTTGCCAGGAACCTGCGCCGGCATCATTAAGCCAGACCCAACTGTGTCTCCAGGCGTGTGCTGAACCCATGAGGGGACGTCCGTACTTGTCGTAAGGGACGCCGTAGAGGCGGTGCTGCATGCCCACGATGGCGTTGACTCTACGCTGCGGGGAGACGGTAGCGCCGCGCATGAGAGAGGCATTCGGGCCCGATGATTTGTACACGGGCAGTTTCTTCGATGGTTGGGAGGGAAGCAGTTCGAGTTCGGACTCTTCAGGCAGGACCATCATGCGTTCGGGGATAGAGCAGCCGAGGTAGAGCGTGGCGGTGGACGTGAGCTTGTCGTCTTCGTTGCAAATTTGGGAGAACTCGAACTCCACGGGGAAGGCACCGAGTTCGTCCAGACATTGGATGCGGAAGCGCGAGGGTTTGCCGTCAATCATCAGAATGTCAGCGGAGTCGTAAGAGCCACCACCCTCGGGCACGATGCTCATGCCCGGCGGTGCAGAGTAGGTCAGGCTACGGCTACAACCGGAGACGTACTCCGGACCGCCGACCAGTTCAATCACGATACTTCCGCCGATGATCAGGGCCTGGCTCTGCTCGATACGGCTACTGCTGACGTCTGTGGAGGGAGGGTACTTGGGAAACCGGACTTCCTCAGGGATTTTTACGTCAAGTTCCGCGTAGAACTCTATGTGTCCGCGGGAACTGAAGAGTTTCTCCTGGTTGGGTCCCGCGACTTGTGTTTCTAGACTGACCCGGCCCGGCTGCAGCGGCGCCTGTAGGACTCCGAAGGTGCAGATGTAGCGGTCATCAGACTTGGCCATGCGCAACATAGGACTGGGCGAGGCACGGTAGTGGATGGTCGCGCCAGGGTGGAAGGCCAGCTCAAGTTCGCCGCAGGTCCAGAAGTTGTCGACGCTTTTGGAGGCAGGTAGTGCAGCCAGTTCCTCAACCGATCGACGTTCGGGCGCATCACTTGCCCAGAGTGCGAGTCGTTTGTTCCTGGTGCGCGCGCTGATGGGCACCATGACTTCAGGGCGACCCGTACGTACCGGCAACCGTTGTTTCCCGTCGACATAAATGGATGCGACTGCGCCCACGTTACAATGGAACTTGTAAAAGTGTGCCGGGTATAGTTCATCCCGGACAGTGACGGTGGCAATGCCTGCCTTGCGTCCCGCACTCAGCACTATCTGTTGTTGGCGCATGGTCACATCACACACCGCCGAGTCCGAAGACGTCGCCTTGAACACACCCGTACCGCCGAATGGCGTCAATATTGTTTGTGCACCAAAGGGCAGAGTCACCGGTACCGTGGAGCCCAACTCGCCCTGTACGTACTTCATCCGCGTCAATCCCTGCACTCCCAACGGCGCCACGACCTCGTAGTTTACGGTCTTGCTAATCTTGACGGCCGTCTTGCCTTTTTCGTTTGGATCAAGGGCGAACGTGATGGTACCTTTGGAGCCGACGGCGCCCGTGGCCCGGAAGGCGATGGTGGCGCCGTTCGCTGAGCGCCAGACGGGTTTGATATCATCTTCGCCAATAAATCCCTTTCTGTCGTCCGTCGGAACGTCGCGCGAGAGTGTGTGCGAGAATCGCACATTCGCGGGCACAAACAGACTTTCGGTTGGGGAGCGCAGATCGAGCGTGACCAGGTGCGTGTCGTTGGCGGCCAGGTACCAGGTGTCATGTGGGTTCTCGGTCCCGGCGTTTCTGAAACGATTCAGGAGCGAGTCGCGATGGCTAGGCGCAACAGCGGCCGGAAAGAACTGGCTCTCGGTCAGCTGCTCGAACGCGCCCCCATTCCCGCCGCCGGCCAATGGGTCACCATTGACCAGCGGGTCCAATTGAGGGTTCATAGCAGCCAGGTGTGCATGGTAGGGGACGATACGTGCCGGTGGTTGGACACGGATGCTAACGAAGTCTGTATTATTATGGTTGCGTGAATCCTTGACGAGTAGGCGCGTTTCGCCCGTTTTCTCGGCCGCTGCAATGACCTGGCCGCGTGCGCTGGTCTCGAGGAGTGCGGGGTCGGCGGAACTCCATTCGAAGTGTCGTTCGTGTCCAGCTGTCTTGCTTCCTTCTCGCAAAAGACGGACTGCAGTACGGAAGGCGGCGCCGGGGGGTACGGCGAGGTCGGAAGGAGTGACGGCGAAGGGCTCGACCACGTCGATCCAAACGGAAGTGGGTCGCACGTGTTCGTAGCCGGGTTCGAGCAATTTAACATGTACAACAGCGCGTCCGGATTCAAGGCCTTTGATCAAAATGACGTCGCTTTGTTGTCGCCGTTCGGCCATGGCCCGTCTTACAGCGGAGGGCCGATAGACGTCATCACTGAGACTACCCAAGGAGATAGCACGACCACCGCCAGCAACCGCCTCGGCTTCCCAGGCGAATAACAAACCTTCCAGCGAAGAGAACACGTTCCCCTCGGCATCGAAGGCCTTCACTCGCAATGTCTCTGCACTACCCACCGCAACCGCCTTCGCTGTTGTCTCCACCTCCAACCGCGCTACCTTGGCCACGTACACCTCCGCCTTCACCCCCGCATTCCCGTCGTCTGCAAACACCCAGGATCGCTCCTTCGGCCCTGTCCACGATGCCGGTAGCACCGAAGATACCACCACCGCGTCGTGGCATGCACCTCCGTCCACCTCGCCCCGCGGTGACAGGTACCGTTTGTCCGGCACCACCAAACCCGGATCACTCAAATCCGCGATCTCCGCCTCGCGCAAATCCCGGATCAACACCGCATTCGGACGCTGCACACGCCACCGGTAACACCCATCGTACGCCCTACAACAGCACTCCATCGAAACACCAGGACACACGCACATAGAACCTAACCGCGCACACACAGACCGCGCACATACACACAGGCCACATACACACAGGCCACATACAGTGTGTTTGTTAAAGCGCACACAGTTGCGTTAAGTGCACACGTGTGTGCGCCCGCACACCATGCTCTGTGTGCAAAATACCTCAGGGTTAAATTCACACGATGCTCCGGAACAGACGTGAACGGAAGTAGCGCCGAGACAGGGTTAATTTGCCTCACACCTGCCGAGAGAAATGGGAGCAACAACAGCGCCCCAAACATGACGACGAATTATGCTTTTTTTTCACCCCAAGATTGCTGCAGTTCAGCGGCAGAGTCTGTGGCCAACCATTGCCAAGTGGGGCGTGTTGAGTGAGGCAACGGGTTGAAAAAGACGCACACGGTAATGGCTGGTGCGACAGCGTGCTCGAAACGCTCCAAGACAACCAAGCTGGGACAGCCCAGAATACGCCCACCCCTTTCTATACACGTATGAGCCTCGGACACGTCAGCGCTCAAAGACAAACGCGCGTTTATAACCTTGGCCTTCTGCCGGTCTTGGACCTCTGTCTGTCTAGACATGGAATTATATTGTCTGGGAAATTCATTAGGGGACTACATTGGCCAAATTGCGCGAGGTGTGTGTGGTAAATGTCCACCTCGGCATGATTCGCGTCGGATCGGTGGTCGCGGAGGGGCCGTTAGGCAGGCCTCCCCATCGTACTGCCTAAGCCCGTCTTCTGGGACAGTGCCAACCACGGCTCCCGAGCACGGCTCCCGAGCACGGCTCCCGGGCACGGCTCCCGGGCACGGCTCCATGGAGGGGGGCAGGAGGCTTTCTGGAAGGTGAGGATTTAAGGGGACTTTGGTACGCGATTCATGAGCCTCGAAATGAACCCTTTAGCGCGGGTGTAGGTGGTGCCTTCTTCGTTATCGATGGTACCTTGGGTGGTTTCTCTGCCGTGGGCGAGAGCGTCAATTTCCTTACCGAGTTGCGTTTCTTGGAGTTTGCGTAGTCGTTCATCGCTTTCGTTCAGTCGGACCATTTTGATGGTCCGTGCAGTGCGTCTTGCTTGGTAGAGGACAACGGGAAGTACGACGATGCATGCAAAGTCGTTGGAGGCTGCACTAAGTCCCCAAAACGAGTTACGGACCATGTCGTAGGCTAATAGGAGTGCGAGAATGCCAATTACGACATCCACAAGGACGCCCATGTTGAAGACACGGTGACGTGACCTCTTCAGTAGCAGCATGGTTGCCACCTCAAAGAGCGTCCGCGTAGTTAACATCATGGCCAAGCCAATTGCTACGTTTCCCACACCCACCGTCCAGGACCCCGAGGGCCATAGTCGGTGGCAAATGGTAGCGCGTTGTCGCTGCTTGGCCTTACTCAGCGCCAGAAAAGCTGCCTCTGCCTCCACCGGAGTAAGATTAATCAATTTGTCGCAAACCGGATCGAGGTCCCACCACAATGTCGTCTTCAGCAAACTCCCAAAGCTTGGCCATGACCCCACCAAATTTGCCAAATCACTCGCATCCGCAATCGCGTAACATTGCTCACCATGGTAACACTTAGTAATCACGCGGTTCCAGCTGTCCACTGCACCCAGATCCTCAGTGGTAGTTTCCACACACAATGAGTTCCAAATGTGCGATATAAATAACACTATCGTTGCCAACATGACCCAGGTATACGACGATAAAATCACGCCATTGTAACCAGAACGCAGAACCTCAGTACCGAACACTCGGATGCCCGTATTTTCGACCCTTATAGACTTGAAGATCGTCGGTATCAATTGTGGTGTAGTCGTGATGAACCAACATGTTAACAACCAACAAACAACAATGATGACAGATCTTCCGAACAACGATAACTACCACAATAACCGACGTTAAAGTGCCCACATCGCCGACACACACGTGTGTGTCTGTACCAACGGTCCAGTGTTTTTAAGTCTGTGCGATGTACCTGCCAGGCATTGTATGGTGGGGGGTCGAACTTTTCAGACAACCATAACATGGGCCCACTTTCTTAGTTTAGTAAAAATGGCTACAGCTTTGTGGGGATTCATGACCTACGGGATTCTCGGCACTGGCATGGGCGTCACGGGTCTCATGCTTTCCGGCTATGCGACCCTCGAACGGCTAGGCTTTAAAGTCGCATCCAACAAAGTCACTTTCGGACTAGACCATGACTCACAGAAAGCAGGCGCGGTTGCCGGCAAAGGCCTCCCTCTACCCGCCATCATTATCACCGTCGCCGTGGTCTTAATGATGTCCGAGTACAGCAGTCTCCAAAACCTCCGCAATGAAAGACTCATGACCAAATCTACGCTCCACGCCAATGTGGTTCGCCACCAACGAAACTGGTGGCTGTGCCTCTTGAGCGCTGTCGTTTGGACGTATGCCACCCCTCCCCCCCCCCTCCGACCAACTAACCGATGCCCTGCCTCTGCCCCTTTTCCTGCTCCCGACCCTTTTCCTGCTCCCGACCCTA